AATCGCAGAGATAACAAAGGTTGGCAAAGTGTTACGCTGAATGATTCAATATAAATACGGTAGCACCAAACTAACGGAGAGACACTCTTGGTAAAGATGGTAAAAAGGCCGTTATCTTTTTCTCATATTCTGAGCCAAAAACCTTAACGTATTACTTGTTGTCTTTGATGGTGACGGCAATGAGATGCGATTAACAAGCGTACACTGTGACCTGTAAATTATGGTTTGTAATTTAAGCTTTTCATCGACCTTCTCAACAATAAAATGATTAATTAGGCTGACCAAACATCCTCTTTTGCCCGGACATGTCCACTTTTCACGTCCTGTCCAGGGCATCCGGGGGATGTTTATAAATTGATGATAATGTCCGGTTTTCCTTTCTGAACCAGACAGTCATTCTGTTTTGTTATGTCTGAAACCGAAACGAGCCCAACATTATTTAATTACTAAAGCACTGAGTTTGTGTCACACAGTTGTTATGGTTATAAACTATTCGACAGGCCGGGTGTGCACCGTGGGTGCTCTGCGGAGAGGCAGACCTCAGTGTTTGAGACGGGAGCGGGTGGCAGGAGGTCCAAGGCTTCCAGCGAGGGGAGAGGGAGAAATATAACAAAATAAGATAAAATAGGAAAAACCTGTCTCCCTCTTTTATTTTATTTTCAGCGTTTATTCAGGGCGGAAGTGGGCGGCGGAGAGGCAGAAACAAACAGCCAATGTGTGTGTGTTTTGTTCAGGTGTTAAAAAAGGAAAAAATGATCCGCACACCAATAGAGCTCCCATTAATCCATTTAATTTTCTGTCAAGTGATGTTTCGACCAACGCAGGCTCTTCCTCAGACTAGGATACAAAAAGAAACGCCATTTTTAAATACCCACTGTAATCAGTGAGATGAATCACAGCTGTGTGCAAACCAGACATATAAAGAAATGAAAAAATACAGACAAAGATGTATTAATATAAATACAGTAGTCCAGCATAAACATGAAGAGTGAACTTTGGGGTATGTATAACATATATATATATATATATACATACATATATACATATATATATCTTGGATATTATATATGTGTATCTTGGATAATATGCCTCTATTTGGACCTTTTGGGCTATTTTGTATTCGCTGATCTTGTACTATATGATGTGTACTTTCATATTTATGTAGGTTTACGTTTTTTACATATATGTGTACTCTAGATATGTGTGTACTTAAGGTCACTCTTCACGTTTATGCTGGACTACTGTATTTATATTAATACATCTTTGTGTGTATTTTTTCATTTCTTTATATGTCTGGTTTGCACACAGCTGTGATTCATCTCACTGATTACAGTGGGTATTTAAAGATGGCGTTTCTGTTTGTATCCTATTACAAGTCTGAGGAAGAGCCTGCGTTGCTCGAAACGTCACTTGACAGAAAATTAAATGGATTAATGGGAGCTCTATTTTTGTACGGATCATTTTTTCCTTTTTTGATACATGTTAGAAGTTTATGATCCAGCACCCTTTCAATATTTATTTGGGATGTGCGTGTTATTATCTTTTTTCTTATGTTCAGGTGTTGTCACGTAAATAACAGTGCCCAAGCAATAAACAGGACAGACAATAGGATTTTATTTTTTTATACACTACATCTTCACTGAAAGCTGACCGAATTCGACCCGAGCCCGAATACAATTTATACATTTTTGACCGAACCCGGCCCGACCTGTCAGGTAGGTCTACCGTCGGGACCCATTGGGCTCGGATCGGGTAGCCACACTCTAGTGTGAGTATGTGTCCCTATTGGGGCCTATCTGAATTTCTGTCTTTGAGAGATATTATTTTGTAATATAACTGAATTTTCTATTCATACATATAAACTTCAAATATATTAAAATTATAAGGCATCTTTGAGTAAACTGCGAGTATCATTTAAGTAGGCTATCTTGTGGCCGGGCCGAGTGTTCTCTATTTTGAGAAATCAAAATATGGTCACCCTAGATTAATATATCTCTCCAATGCGTAGTTTAGGCCCTTTTGGTTACTTCTCAATGGGTCAATGTCATTGGTCCGACAGCCCATTGATCCAACATCCCATTAGTCCGACGGTCCGTGGTACTGAATGGCTCCTGGCGGGCATGTTTCTACCTTGATGGTGCACCGCGACCGACTCTGGGTCAGCTGGGAAAGACTTGAGGCGAAGCAGGTTCACGGCTTATGTGTTTGCCACTTTCTTTTTCATTTTAACCCACACCATGATCTTTTCCTGACCCTAACCAAGTGTTTTTTGTGCCTAAACTTAACCAGACCTTAACCACAGGGCATCATGATGATTTCGGAACAACGGGACTTCGGAACAATGGGTTTAATATGGTCGGAACAATGGGCTGTCGGACCAATGGGCAGTTCCCTTTCTCAATGACATCTGATCGTTATGTCCCCAGAAATCATCAATCGCCTCCTGCGAAATGCCGTGTACTGTGATACCTGCCATAGCGCCCAATAGCATCACTGAATGTTGATAGTTTATCCGAGTAAGTGGAGGGGGGTGTGGCTTAGCCATAGGTCAATTATAGTCACTTCTAGCTTCAAACATCCTAGATGGCCCTGACCAAATTGACAAACTCAAGGATTTAGTGGGTGACAGTGGCCATATCCATTATTTTATTATTCTATACAGTTTATGAGGTCAACCTTACTTACTGTTTTGACGGAAGAATTGGAATTTGGTATTACTGAAATGGATATGTAAAACTGGAAGTGGAGCCATTCTGAAAGTGAGGACTAAACTCAATAAAACGTTACAGGCGGTCACTGAGGAGTAAGCTCTTTGTTTCCAAAATTGTACCGAACAACTCGGAAGATTTTGGTGGTGTCTCCACAGCAAGGATAACACTCTATTATGTACACAGAGAGGAGGATGGGCGCACAAACTCAAACCAAACTGGCACCACCGGCTATCTAACCCAACACACACACACACACACACACACAGGGAAATGAGACAAGTTAGAGTGGCGCTCAACCCTGACAGTTCTTCTGATGGTGAGTCACACTATTTACCAATGCTTCGTGATGCAGAGAATGCCTACATTTGACTCAGCTTCTAGATGGGTGTGGGGGTGATGTCTATCATAATATAAGGTGGTTTGTGGATGTGACTGCTGGGTTAAGCTTGTCATGTTAGCCACTACACGATAATGGTAACGTAATTTTATAAGCATCTCCCAATCTTTTGTTAACTGCAATGTTAGTCATGCACCACCCACTGTACTGAAACTCAAAGTCACGCACTGTTTCATTTTCACTGCTGTCATTCGACTCCATGGGAACAGGTCTTACCACTTTATTTGGTCTTTTTGGCTAAAAAAGCCTAGGCTATTGGGTTTTTGACTTTGTCCCAGGTTCTTTGTATCTCATCAAATCTTTCAAACCCCATTGTATCAACACCTAACTAGTCTGAAGAACATTGCTGTTGTTGCTGTAGCCAGTTTTGTTTCCCATTCCTACACCACAGTCACACTGTTCAGTGTTTCATCTCCACGTTATGAGAGCTAGATATGGAAACTTAGCCTGGCAAATCGTGACACTGCATGAAAAACTTCCCTGTGGCCCAAAAAAGCATATTTCCATGTTAATCACCATTATAACACATGATGTTGACAGAACACCTCCAACCACAAACAATGTCAATCTTTAATCTTTGTTTTACAAGTGTTTTTAATCATGAAAGGTTTATATTTGCAAAACTTTCCCAGAGCTGAGAACAGATATGTTTATATGCTTGAAGTTATCCCAATGTAAAGTCTTGGCTGAGTGGGACCTAAAGGCAAGGCCAGTGGAGAAACATTAATGTGCATTTGCTGTGGGCCAATATTGCCACATTCCCAGATCTCAGCATCAACTCAATGAGTACAATTTCAACATAACCAGTGACAATGCCAAAACTATGTAAATAAGACCCAGCTTGTACGAAACTAGATTTCTCTTTAAGGCTGTATGACAAAGATGAGCTATCAGTAATACAATGTATATGTTGATTGCAGTCGTGTTTCATTCTATGCATTATTTCAGTTGTTTATATTGTGAGAAATGTGGGCCATAGGAGGACATGTGAGCTTCTAGTGGTTGAAGCTGAATTTTGAAGGCAAGCAAAGCAGCAAAGAAGGCATGACATTTCTATCTTAGGGCAGTGGCCTCATTACATGGAAAAGCAGAGTATCAGCCATGCTGATCTCCTAGACCTCCCTCACTGTGCATTAGGCAAGACAATAAATGTCAAGCAGCTCCGCTCTTCACCCGGTCCCCGCAAGTGAGATTCATTACTGGCTATAGGGATAATGGCAGTCCATCTCCTGAGAGGAAGTGAAATGCTCTCTATACTTGGGACATGATCAATAGTCAGCAGGCTTGATCAAGAGAGGAGAGGTGCCTCTACAGTGCCTGTCTGGAAGATAGGACACCACTCCACAGCATCACTTTCCAACCTGGCCTTTTGTCTTTCCAGCAGTCGGCTGACAGAGCGGCACACAGCCCGCCGCTGTCTCATCCACACACAATCTGCTGTATATGTTATGAATAAAGAAGTGGCTGGTGATTACAAAGACACAAATACTTCTTAAGCATCATTTGTGTTTGTCTCCTTTAAAGTGTGGATCACAGGGGCTGGCGTATCACTTGGCAAAATATGAGTCAATTCGGACTGAGCATAGATGCTGTCAGAGCTGGAACCACTAATGAGAATCAATGGAGTTCAGAGGCAGTCAGAAGCTGCCTCACCCACTGTGTTTGTTGCATCTGACATTTCATTCGATTACCATTTCCCCTCTCGAAAATCTATTCTCAGGCAATCTAAATGAGAAATCGGAATGGTGAATGAAAAAAAAGGAGGCCTGGGCCACAACAACCATATTACACACATGTCAGACTGATATACAGCAGATACAAAGAGACGCCAGAATGTCATAAATACGTAAGAGTGGTGCCAGGAACGTGTTAACATTTGTAGGATCACTTACATGCAAAGTGCAGGCTGGCTCTGCGGCTGAGGATGGACCCCCACGTGTTGAAGGCTGTGCACTGGTACACCCCTGTGTCTTGGTCCTTGTCCAGGTTGCTAATGATCAGGCTGCCCCCAGACATGTGACGCCGGTAGTCATTCCCCAGATCAATGAGTGTTCCGTTTAGTGACCATCTGGAAAAACGCAAACACAATCAGTGGCTGAGCCCCCTGGAGATGCACGCTCACAGTGTTTATCACAGAGATCGATTTGATCGGTCGCATCATGCTGAGAAGATAAAAGGTGAGTAATAAGAGTAGGATTCTGTATCGTTAACAGAGAACGCTGAATGTCCCTTACAGTTTGGAATAAAGTACACCTTTCTTGACACTGAGGACAGTTATAGCTTCTAGTTTTCAACAGTTTGACTTCATTCAAGTATTTTGTTTTCTATTAATGCAGGCAAGATTCCAAATTTGTGAAAATCTGGTGTTTTTATTGATTTTCTTCCCACTTGCATGGTGAAGTGGGTTTTATTTCATCTTACTTTTAATTACTTCCACTAAAGATGTTATGTTTTTGGTTCAGATTGTAAGTCTCCTAGGAGAATATCTAAAATACATCAACAGATTCCATCGACATTTGGTGGAAATTCAGGCCATGGGTTGAGAAACAAGTGTTTTGGTGCAGTTAAGGAATACATTATATTTATAAGAATAGTGAGAGGGAGCATTTTGAGAACTGTTTGCTCATTTTAGCCCCGCTGGAGACATCGCAGTGTCAATCTGTTGGTCTTTGACTGAAATATCTCAACAACTATTGGATTGATCATCATAAAACTCTGTACAGACATCATGTTCTCCAGAGGATGTATCCTAATGACTTTGGTGATCCCTTACTTTTCCTGCACCACCATGGGGTTGGCATTTGTTGTTTAGAGTGAAATATCTCAACTACTGTTGGATGGATTGCATCAAAATTTGGTAAATATTAATGATAAATCACAATGACTTTGGTTATTCTCCAACTTTTTAAGTGGCACCACAACAAGAAGTCAACTTTTTCACTTATCCAGTCAAATCGAAACATCAAAAGGATGGACTGATAAAACAGTTTGTACAAACTAATAGTTCCTTAGATTTATCCTGACTTTGGTGATCCTTGACTTTTCCTCCACCACCATGAGGTTTACATTTGTGGTTTTCAGTGTAATCTCTTCACAACTATTGGATGAACTGCACTAAAGTTTGAAACACAAATTCATCACTTTAGGATGAACTGTAATAACTTTGGCGGTCCCCTGACTTTTCAGGTCAAAATTTCACTTTGTCCAATACTTTGGTTTATGAAATATGTGCGAAACCTAAGATGTTTCCATGAGCCTCAGCCATATTTGGTATTCACTGATAATTAGCACAAGTTAGCATGCTAATACAGAGAGGGAGTAATACAATCTTCTTCTCAAGTAAAAGTAGCAATTTTACAATAAAGTACTGCAGTATTATCGAAAATTTTATTCAAAGTATAGAAGTAAAAGTACTGGCTACGGAGTCAAAATGGGCTCTGTCAGTGTTACATCATCATATATTATACTATTGGATTATTATTGATGCTTAATATTAATATAGAATGTAACCATACGTTAACTACAGGGTTCAACATATCTGCAAAATAACATGCAAATATTACATATCTGTGGTTTGCAGAAAGGTACAATGCCAACGGTTAATTTTGGCAACTGGGTTGATTCTTCTTGCTGGGCCTGGGTAATATGCAGAAAATCAAATATCACAGTATTTTCTGACCATCTGTATTGCAATGATATTGTAGGGTTGACTAAAGGCGCTTTCAAAAAATACTTACACAATGACTTTTTTTGACAAACAGTCATCAGTAATGTGGATACAATGACACGATAAAGTGGGTGAAGGCAAATAAAAGAACAGCTAGAACAGTCTGGTCAGTTCACTTTACACCACTTTACTGTAATGCAGCCTTTAAAACCAGGAAAAGACAACACTTACCATGTGACACTATCCAAATTATAAGACGATATCTAGTCTGATATCATGATATTGATACAATATTATAACACTTTCTGAAATTGAGGAATTACATAAAAAATAAAGAAAAGAATATGGCAAAAGCATCCCATCATTGTGTATCTTTATGTGCATTTTGACGCAGACTTGGATCCAGATGCAGATTAAAAACGCCTTAACATTTTGTGTCATTAAAATTACAAATCTAAAGGACTGTGCAGCCCTGGCAGAGTTATGCGCTCTCTGAGTGCTTTCTAATTAGTTCGTGTTTGTGCTTTTGTGTTTCTGACTTATTGCTTTCTGACACCTTCATATTGCATTGTCTACAGACCATTTCCTGCAAAGAAAGGTCACGAGATACTTTGTCATGCAAGCTCAGTTCAGGAAGTGACAGCTATTAATCACTCTACCAACAGAGGCAAAACACTGAATAATGTTCTCGGTGAACAATAAAAACACTTTGTATGTTATTTACTGAAATCTACAGTCTTTCTGCCTGACAGCCACGTACATGAAGGAGATGTATATAAGTAATACCTATAAGAGGATGGAGGGTAACAGGCCTCTATCTCAGAACATTAACACAGATGAAAAATTGCTCTTCCCTATAGAAATATGAGAAACACAGAATTATTGGAATGCCAAGTGTAAATCTGCCTTTGTGACAGGAATTTGAAATGACAATTCCAATGATAAAGAGAAAAAAAAATCAATATCTTGTTTTTTTTTCCTCCAAGGCAAACTAACAGGCTGTTAGAATGATGCTTCATGCAGTCTTAGAGCCAGTCATGGCTCTCCACAGTCTCCTGCCTGACAGACTACAAAAGACGAAGCTGTCTTTCATCTTGTAGCTTGCATTATTCATCTAACAGTCTGTGCCAGTCACTTAATCTGACTGATTTTGTCACTGTTCCAACAATGATATTACTTTTAAATATACAATACTTGTCATGGCAAAGCTTATGTATCTAAGAATATATATGAAAACACACACTCCAATATCAACACACACTTTACGGTTATATTTTTTGGATGAAGTCCGTGTATTTCTCCATTTGAATTCTCCATTGTCCTTTCCCTTCCCTGTTTGTGCCAAAGGGAGGATTATTGTATGTGCAAGAGGGGAGGAGGTTAAATGGAAAAGGATGAGAAGCTAGTTAGACTTGCAGCCACCCAGCATGATTGAACTTAATGGGAGAGGAAGGTGGGCAGCCTGGACAGATCACACACCCTTGGAGCAGACAGCTGGTCGGGTGTGATGGTGTTTCTGCACCACAGGTACAATCAGTGAGCCACCTACCTACTCTTGCTGCAGAAACACCTGAGACAGGCTCGACTATTAGAAGACATGGGGAACCTTGTTAGCCTTTTTCATGAGCCCAGGAAAGGTGGACGTGATTTAAAGGTGTATGGAAAGATCAGCATGAGTAAAAAGAGGGTAGAGTGGGTGGCCTCATAGATAATTGAACTATTTAAAGGATAATACTGACATTTTAATAGCTGCTTTGTCACCTCTTTGTCATTACTAGCAAGTTGTGAACAAAATAGCTTGCGCTAGCAATTTCTTACATGTTGACAGTGAGAAGCAAGTGAAAAAATGTGAGCCTTCACACCAAGGAGATGTGAGGAAACATCAGCATAACACATCTAAGACTAATCTCTTCATACCAAAGGGTGTTCAAATTTGCTACTTTCTCTTAATAAGCCAATAGCAAATATTGGTAAGCCTTCTGTAACTATAAGGTTAATGAGTCATTAATTAATGGTAATAAACCATTAAGTCTACAGTTATAACAAAAAATCTACCAACCCATACCACCACATTCATTCACCTCACTGGGTTGGGTTGGGTTAGGTTGAGGAAAAGAATTTTTATTGGATGTGACATGACGATGGGTGTGACAATGTTATATTAGGATGTGACATTACATAATTATGTAATGTCATTACATTATGTAATGACATGGCATTACGTGGGGTCATGACGTTATGTGACAACGTGACACTGACTAAACATGGACTTTTGGTTTCACATGACACACCAACAGCAGCCTCCAGGAATAAACTTCTGGATATTTTTATCCATCTGTACACCAAGACTAGCCTGGTGAAACCATCCTGATCTTGCAAGCTCATATTCTATTTCGCTCCGCAGATCAGTCTGGCCATGCAATCATTAAGGCGCATTCTGGTATCGGTTAAAGCTTACCGGGCCAGTCACAACCGTTTATTACTTTGGGCCGGGCACGTCATCAGAATAGAAGGGACAAGGAGTGGAGTGAATGCATTTCGTAAACAACAAACATGGCTACTGATTTTGAAACTGCTATGGTAAATGTGTTGAACGAACTGCAGAGCAAACGGCTGCACTGAAAGCTTTTATTGAAAAAAAGGATGTGTTTGCCGTCCTTCCTACGGGGTTTGGTAAAAGTTTAATTTACCAACTGGCTCCACTGATCGGGAAAAAGATGGGACTCAGTGAAAACCCAGTGGCTATTGTTGTCTCTCCGCTAGTTGCTCTCATGTAGGAGCAGGTCAGGGAAGCGACCAAGCTGGGAATCACAGCCATGAAACTCGGAGTCCACAGTGAGGAGGAAATCCGCAAAGAAGGCAACACACTTTCCCAGACATCATCACAGCTCATCTCCGCTGCAGCTTGCTGGTCCGTTTACAGTGGCGTTGTGCTAGCCTACGTCACACGTTTCGTTTACTCTGACTGGTTTTCCATCTTTCCAATTGCGTGAAGGGCACTTTGAGTGACAGCCGTTGATAGTGCCCCTCAGGAATAGAGGAAATGTACACTCCGTGTCCAGACCCATTCACGTATTGCGAATTGGGCCTGGCAACACCAGGCTACACTAAGACATCCTCCCTTTGCGGACTTTGCCGTTCTTTAAACTACGTCACATGAATTCAGTCTTTCTTATTACTCTAATAATTACTTCTAATTACCTTTGCTACTAGAGGTCACCACCTGACAACACACATAATTATGGGATGTAATAAGCTGCTTGAACAAACAACCTATTGTGTCGTTCGAACGTAACACAGTCTCAGTTGTAAATGGTGTATAAAGTTGTTTATTAAGGTTTCCTGCAAAGATCTTATCAGCAGTTATGTTTTATTTAAGTCATTTATATATTTATTTGGAG